ACAAAAACCTTGGAATAATTGCAGCTAATACACTGAACATGAGAATAGCAATCTAAATGTCAACAGTGCTTGGGGGTAGTGAATTGTTCACGGAGTTTGCAACGTAAGAAGGATGGAGAGACAAAAGTTTTCGGTGCTGCCTAACTTGACTTAATCAATCTAATGAGAAGGATTTTAGACCGAGTCACTTTGATCTCATTTGACTAAGAGAAATTCAGGCATCATTTCTTGAGCGGCATGGGTTGCTCATGGTTTGTGTGACTGGACTTTCGATTTCAAACGATGGGATGGTTGAAGGAAATTTGTAAATTGACCTCATCGGAAACTGAATTATGCGGCATAGTAATCGGCTCACTGATCTGCGACTCCGATGAACCCGTGCTAACCTCACATCTGTCATGTGACCGGCATCAACAGAACTGAAATGCATAGTTGTAGAAATAGCGCAATAATGTATTAAGCCAAGAGCAAATTTATCTGGCCTTACGCCCACTCGCCTCTTGTGCTGGTTCCGTCATGGTTACTCTACATGCAGGCAGATGGATGAAATTGTTTCATGAAAAAAGGGGATGAATTTGCAGCCTTTTCTTTCAAATAAATCAACTGGTCTGCGATACTCTCATTCTAACGCCTGTTTAGGTGTGCGGTATTGTCTATTGTGTATATGTAATGCTAATATCTTGGTTTAGTTTTCACTCCACTCCAAGGCAGTCCATCTTCAGGTTTTTGATGAGACAAATTCACGAATTTATTCAGCCAACTTTTGCTACAAAGTGTAGAGTCAAGTCACACTAACTCACTAAGGGATTGTTTGAAGCTTTACTTTTCTGTATGGTTTAGTTGCAAGACCTGTTAGCAAGACTTCCGGCCAGTATGCTTTTATCTATTATGTCTAATGTTGGCAATGGTTAGTCGTCATTTTATCACCAGAACATGTTCCTTCAAGTGATACTGAGTCTACGTTTTCTAGGCTTTATGTTGGGACAAGATTGAGGCTTGTCGGAGCCACTGCGTCTATTTCTTTCTGTCTCTTAAAAGGAACATTTTCAGTGTCTGCCTCAGTACAAGGACTGTAGTGATGCTGTTTTCACTGACCAAGTAACCATGCTTTCGGCCGCCATCATTCGTCATACAGATTTGGAAACCGATGCGATCCCAGTGAATCGTCGAGTTCATCTCGTGGGCGAAAAATGATGAATCCCACCGACAAGCCGAAGATCGGCCCGTCGAGCCTCCGATGTATGTTCTTTAGGTCTTCATCGGTGATGGTTAAATGAGCGGAAAGAAGCATGTGTTCGCTGTCGATTCTTCGGAGTCCGTCAAGCCTTTACTGTCAATGGCATGGGGTGAGGTCAGTAGGGACGGAATAGAGATTTAACCAAGACTCTGAGACTTGGCTTCACCAAATGTAAGGCCAAGACATTTGCATATGTAATCAGGCAGTGTTTCTCAGGCGCCTCGAAGTCTCGCGGTGAGAGAGCATCTAGGCCGCTCGGTGGCTCACACATGCTTGCATGATTACTTCTGCATCCTGGCAACCACGTGTACACAATTAGCCCCACTGGCGGAATCACTTCCTCCTCCCAATATTGGCATCCAAGACATCTTCACTCCCACCTCACCCCCATCGACGGGAGGTGGTTGTGAATGTCTGATCTCTCTCTCTCTCTGACTTGGAACCACCACAGGGGCACTGTGAAACGTCAGAGGGTGTGTTCGTCTTGTTTATTTTTCACCCGAAGGCTGTATTTTCCAATTCAACAGGTCCAACTGCATCCCGTGACTTGAACTATTCTTGAAACTTCTGTTTCTATGCTGGTGTACACGTCAGACTAAATTATAAGCTACCTTCAACCAGAAAGTCGGAATTATGTGCAATAAGAGTATCTCTCTCTCACACCCACACCCACCCACACACACATTCTCTCTCTCTGTCTGGCAGCCGCGTGAGTTGCGAATCTGCAGTGAACGCAGTCCGAGATCCATGGAGTTGTACGCACGCGCTAGTGCTCAGGCTCGGATGGCCTAGAATGTTCTCTGCTTGTATCTGTTTCCATGTGAGCAACAATTTGAGCTTTGGGTTGCTCCTTCGGTGAAGCGAGTCTGCACAAAACAAGGCCATGAGACGGATTGTGACATGATTTTTGATTTCGAAGGAAAAGTTGGTTGGAAGAAATTTGTGAAATGGTCGTACTGGAAACCGAAGGAGAATTGCCGCGGAGTGAAGACTACTGGATTGTGTGAAGAAGTCCTTGGCTCATCGTCCTGCTACTCCTACAAACAGGCACATACAAATATAGAAACAGACACACTCGCATGCATCTAAGTTAACTAACCAAATCCCTTTATACTTAATCAAAGAGACCAAATGTATAGTATATATACCACTTTTTAGGGATTTGCCGGTGAGTTTTCTTGACTCGTTGGCTTGAATTTTGCTATGACGATGTTACCTCGTTCTGATGATGTCCGTCATATGACGGACGAAAGCTTAGCCCCTTTTCACCGGAATCGAAGTAGATTGCCTCGGAAACAGCCTCAGCATAAATGTTCCAGTAAAGCCAATCGACAACTGGTCAAGAGGAATCCGCTGTCGTTTTCTGCTTGAACCAACCTTCGAATCTCTTCACCCAACACTCTCACTCGAAATGGAAGTCAGCTCAACAATTATAAAACAAGAAATTCCTCGTAACCCATCTTTTCTTCGCATATATTATATGAAAGACGAAAGGTCTGCACAGATTCATCAAGGGTGTAGAACAGGAGCCGATGGCGTCTTCATGCCATTCTCCTTCGATTTATGGTGAGGCCAATTCGCTAAGTCCTTACGATCTAATTGTCCTTCGAGATAAATGGTATCTTCTTGAATAAGTTAGTTTTCCAGAGTATCAGTTATTTTTTAATTATACATTAGTCAGACTAGGTCGTTTAAGATGATTTAAGGATGGATAGTCGAATTTTTCCACAACCCGACTAGTAGCCCTCAAGATGCCATTGGCTTTCACTTAACCCCGACTGTGAAAAGTTTATCTCATTCAGGCTGGACTGCGGTTTCAGCCTCGGCATCATGAAGCTCACTTATTTGTATGTGAGAAAGAGACAACTATTAGTCTCCTAAAACTACTCAAGACGAAATAAAAGTAATATCGTCGATTTCTATAGCAAATATAAGTTTGCTTCATCGACGATCACATCATAGAATGTGATATGTGATGATGCCCGGTCTTTCTTAAATTCATATCTGTCCCGTGACCCAAGGGCACTGGTGGCAATGTGGCGTAGTGGTTAACGTCATGGCTCAAGTCCCGCTGGGGAGGCTGCGGTTCAGGCAAGGTCGAAACTGTAGTCCACTCTGGATGAGAAATTCGATGGGAACGTCATGTCTGCTAACATGATTGTGGGAAAATTTAACTACCAACTTTTCATTACCTTGAAAGAAATAGGATGGACACAGCTCATGAACGTTGAGGCTGTTTCTTCGTGGTTTTGACGTGATAACATTTTTTGTCCCCTCCTTGTTACGTGCGGAGCTCTGGAAGGAACCTCGGTGCCAATAAATGAGACGGCCTTTTGAGAAACTAGATTCTCTGCTTCAAAGACCTTCGGTCCGTTGGCAGGAAACAGTCTTCGCGGCTGCCCGAGCCCGAGTTCTAGCAGGTCATTTGGCATTCTCAGACAGTATTCTGTGCTTCTTATGCGTCCATTTACGATGCGACTGGCTTGACATCAGTTCTTTCAGCATTTCTCTCTTTGCCTCATCCTCCAGTTGGGCTGAGGGCGATGTGCCGTCTCGGAACCAGCACGGCCATTCTGCACCAGCCGCATCTGCTGCCCGACCAAGTGCTCAGCGCCGCTCTCGCCTGGTCGACGAGTCCCGGTGGCCAGGTCTCCTCGGCCTCGGGCTTTGGCCACTGGAGCGACGCGGCTCAGCCTCCGGCGAGACGGCCACTCGAGGCCGGATCGGGGCCCGAGATCAAATGTCCCATCAGGACGTTGGGACTGATCGGTTCGGGCGCTGGTGAGTCGTTGTTGGACCGCCAGACCGGCGTCGGCTGTGCCGGCACTGAGGACGAAGTGGACGAAGAGGGCGAGGAAGAGGAGGAAGAGGAGGATGAAGAAGAAGAGGAGGAGGAGGAGGAAGAAGAGGAAGAGGAAGATGAAGAAGAAGAGGAGGAGGAGGAGGAGGAAGAGGAGGAGGAGGAGGAAGAAGAAGAGGAGGAGGAGGACGATGACGAAAACGACAAGAAGGATACGAAGACTGTCACTTCTGGCCTGCGCACAGACACAAGATCCACCGGCAAATGGGAACTGACTGCCGACGGCACTCGGTTCGAACGAGTTGCCGGTCAACCCGACCTGCCGGTACCTCCGACCCGAGCCCATCAGCTCAAGCTGTCCGGCGGCGTGGGCTGGAACAACCACGGCCCAACCTCGCTCGGGCCCTGCCACCAACAGGCTCGGACGTTGCGTCGACGCAGAAGCCGAAGCGGACGGCGCCAG